TTCGCTCTTGTTACCCAGGCTGGAGTGCAATGGCGCGATCTCGGCTCACCGCAACCTCCGCCTCCTGGGTTCAAGCAATTCTCCTGCCTCAGCCTCCTGAGTAGCTGGGATTACAGGCACACACCACCATGCCCAGCTAATTTTTTGTAGCTTTAGTAGAGACGGGGTTTCACCATGTTGACCAGGATGGTCTCGATCTCTTGACCTTGTGATCCACCCGCCTCGGCCTCCCAAAGTGCTGGGATTACAGGCTTGAGCCACCGCACCCGGCCCAACAGTGGTCTTTTTAATAAAAAGCACTGGATCAGTTGTGTATCTGTTCTAATTTAAAAAATTAATCTTCACCCTTACCTCACACTATATATAAATCAATTCCAGATGCATGAGTGATCTAATCATAAAAGGCAAAGCAAGGACTTTAGAAGAAAATATAGAATATCTTTCTACCATTGTGGTAGCAAAAATTTTTTTTCTTTTTTTTTTTTTGAGAAATTTTGAGAACAAATCCAAGTATTAAATTATGATATTAAATTGTTTAAAAAACTGGCTGGGCACAGTGGATCACGCCTGTAATCCCACCACTTTGGGAGGCTAAGGTGGGTGGATCACCTGAGGTCAGGAGACTGGCCAACATGGTAAAACCCTCTCTCTACTAAATATACAAAAAAAAAAAAAAAAAAAAAAAGGCAGGCATGGTGGCACGCACCTGTAGTCCCAGGTACTCGGGAGGCTGAGGCAGGATAATCACTTGAACCCAGGAGGCGGAGGTTGCAGTGAGCCGAGATTGCACCATTGCACTCCAGCCTGGGCAACGAGTGAAACTCTGTCTCAAAATAAATAAATAAATAATTGTTTAAAAAAAACCTAGTGTGCTGGTTATCATTTGTTGTTGTTTTAAGTATTCTACTGTGCTCCATGCTCTTTTTTGTGCTACAGAGGCTGGAAGCCTAAAACCTACAAATTTTAGACCCTCTTGCTTCTAGAATTCCAGATGTGATCTATGTTCTTCCAGTGAGATAAACTCATGCAAGATTAGGAAGGCAGAAGAAAGCAGAAAGCAGCGGCTTTCTCCTTCACCAGTGCTATTGGTGTGAGGTTTTGCAGCAGCTTTCTGATAGTGCCTTTGCCATGAAGGTATTTAACAAAAATTGAGGTCATAAATTATACGATATTACCATAAATGATTAAAACACAAGGTTTGGTAAACGTTGGGCCACTTTTTCAATCTGCAAACTTAATGTAAAGTACATCCATGAGAAACAGTTTTGGAGTAAATGAAGGCTCCAGATATATACTGAGGAATAACATGGATTTAATTCCTAGTGAGGCATCTTTACTCTTTATGATTTCAAAGTTACTAAAATCATATATATATATATGAAAAAAATAAGTAGTTGGGATTACAGATGTGCATCACCATGCCTGGCTAATTTTTGTATTTTTTGTAGAGACAGGATTTCACCATGTTGCCCAGGCTGGTCTCAAACTCCAGGGCTCAAGCCATTCGCCTGCCTCAGCCTCCCAAAATGCTCGGGTTACAGGCTTGAGCCACTGTGCCTGTTCGTGATCTGTTAATAACAACAACAAAAAGGCTAGAATGACAGTTTTAGAGGTACAATGAAAGGATTTTTGGAAAGGACGCTGCTCTGTGTCAAATAATGGAGCATTTGGCACATGGGGTTTTTTCTATTAAGAAACTGCAGACATCTGAGGACAACTGAAAATATTCATAGTACAGATTTAGATACTGAAAAAAGAAATGAAATTCTCTGAAAGAAACTCTCTTGTTCTGCATGACTGATGAATTGAAGGTCCAAATAGCCCTTTTCAAACTGAATGAGACAAGAAAATAAACAATCTGAAGAAAATCATATTTCAGAAAGTCAGTGAGCATGATGTTGGACCAAGTACCCCATCATTTGACACAGAGCAGGGCCTTTTCCAAAAATCCCTCCTTTGTACCTCAGTGAAGTTAGGCGTTAATTGTCTGGTGCTGTTTGACAAGGAAAATGACCTACAGTTAGTTATCTCCTCCAGCAGTCTCCTTACCAGAGAGGGTTTGAAGAAGGTAGCCCCTAGTGTCAGAAAGCCTCAAAATTTAGTCAAAACAAGGCCAGGTGCATGGCTCATGCCTGTAATCCCAGCAGTTGAGGAGGCTGAGACAGATCACTTGAGTCTGGGAGTTTGAGACCAGCCTGGCCAGCATGGTGAAACCCGGTCTCTGCTAAAAACACAAAAAGTTAGCCGGGTGTGGTGGCACATGCCTGTAATCCCAGCTACTCAGGGAGGCTGAGGCAGGAGAATTCCTTGAACCTGGGAGGCTGAGGTTGCAGTAAGACGATATCATGCCACCGCACTCCAGCCAGGGTGACAGAACAAGACTTTGTTTGGGAAAAAAAAAAGAAAAATTTAGTTGAAACTGAAAGAAAATGGAAAATTTATTTTAATAATACTTTTTATTGCTTTTTTTTAATGGAGTGTTGATTTCCTTACATAAATTTAGTCATACACATCTACATGAAACTATGATGACTGGGCTTTCTTAGGTTTTTTTGCTTGTTTATTTATTCTTTTGAGACAAGAGTGTCACTCTTTTTGCCCTAGCTGAAGTGCCTTGTCTCATTCAGTTTGAAAAGGGCTATTTGAGACAAGAGTGTCACTCTTTTTGCCCTAGCTGAAGTGCAGTGGCACAATATTGGGTCACTGTAACCTCCATCTCCCCAGTTCAAACAATTCTCCTGCCTCAGCCTCCCGAGTAGCTGGGACTACAGCCGTGCGCCACCATGCCTGGCTAATTTTTTTTTTTTTTTTTTTGTATTTTTAGTAGAGACTAGGTTTCACCATGTTGACCAGGCTGGTCTAGAATTCCAGAACTCAGGTGATCCAATCACCTCGGCCTCCCAAAGTGCCCAGCCTTTTTTTTTTTTTTTTTTTTTTTTTTTAGGGGGGTCCTTGTTTTGTCACCCTGGCTGGAGTGCAGTGGTACCATCTCAGCTTACTGCAACTTCTGCTTCCCAGGTTCAAGCAATTCTCCTACCTCAGCCTCCTAAGTAGTTGGGATTACAGGCATGCTCCACCACGCCCAGCTAATTTTTGTATTTTAGTAGAGACAGGGGTTCACCATGTTGGCCAGGCTGGTCTCGAATTCCTGACTTCAGGTAATCTGCCCACCTTGGCCTCCCAAAGTGCTGGGATCACAGGCATGAGCCCAGCCGCCTTCTTAGTAGTCATAAAGTAGCTCAGAGTTTTCATTTATCTCCTATTTCATGCATATCCCATTCTTTGTCAAATGAAACAAAATTACCTAGGCATTTTCAAATATCTTCTAAAGTTTTATATTCTTAAAAAAAGAATTTGTTCTTTTTTTATATAACTAATATAAAACTTTTATATTATATATATAATATATAATATTATATATATTATATAAAAAGTTATATATAACTTTATATATATATATATAACTAATATATTAGTTAATATATCGAAGAATTTGGGATACAGAAGATGCCTCACGGTGGTCCCCTGGTGGGCTTATCCCATTTCCTTCCTGAAGGAACAGAGGACAGGAGAAATGTATTCTCGAGAGGAGAGGGGAGAGGGGGGAGAGGGGGGAGAGGGGAGAGAGAGAGAGAGAGAGAGAGAGAGAGAGAGAGAGAGAGAGAGAGAGAGATAGCGAGCGCGCAGCGAACACTGGTGACCTTTCTAGGTCTAGGTCCTGCTCCAGCTTCTGTTGAGCATACATTAAGTATGCTCATGCCTGATGTATGCTCCTCACACCTTGCTTGGGTGTATGCAGTGAGTAACTGCTAGGTGTTTAGTACACATATTAGGCACCTGCTCGTACCAAAACGTCTTTCTAAATCCTCTATGGCTGAATCCAGTGGCTCACGCCTGTAGTCCCAGGACTTTGGGAGGCTCAGGCGGAGGGATCTCTTGAGCCCAGGAGTTGGACCCCAGCTTTGGTAACATAGGGATATCTGGGCTCTGCAAAAATTAAACAAAAAAATTAGTTGGGTGTGGTGGCGCGCCCCTGCAGTCCCAGCTACTCTGGAGGCTCAGGTGGGAGGGTCGCATGAGCCCGGGAGGTCGAGGCTGCAGTAAGCTCTAATCACGTCACTGCACTCCAACCTGGGCGACAGAGCAAGACTCTGTCTCAATAAAAATAAAAAATAAAAAAAGTCTTCCTCAGCGACAGAAGCAAACGCAGGCTGGAGCTCACCTCATCTCCCGGCAGCCTGGAAGGCCCTCCAGACGCGAGCGCTGTCAGAGCTCCAACGTTCGCGCTTGCGCACTCCGCGCAGCCTGTCGGCGCTGGGACCTGTCCCTCCCACCCGCGGACTACATTTCCCACAGGCCTCCGCGCGCGATTCTTTCCGGCTTCCCTGCTGGTATCGGCTCTGAGAGGTAAGTTGGTAGCGTGCACCCAGGCAATGGGCGAGGGGGTGGCGCGGGGGCGGCGCGGACCTGTGTGTGAGCCGGGAGGCAGTAGCTGTGCAGTTTGTGGCGCTGACTGGGCGCCGAGTGCCCTGCTGCGTCCTCTGCTGTCCCGCTTCAGGGCCGCGCAGGTCCAGCGGCCCGGAATGGCTTCGAGTTAGATGCATGAACCCCGGAGTGAATGAAGGCCCCCAAACAAAAAGATGTAGTCTGAAGAACAACTGCAGATCGCACAGCTTTACCCGAGCTCCCTCCCATGGAAACTGCGGGGAACTCGGAGACAGATTCCAGCCCAGTCTTCGTGTACCTGGCCTTTCTCCCTGATACGGGGACCGGTCAGCTTTATTCCAGGCTCCCTGTTATTCCATGGGGTTTTGCGCGCGGTAGACTGAGGGAGCTAGTGCGCTAGCGGGGGTGTGTCGTGATCAGCCAAGCCCGGCTCCAGCAAAGGCCCGAGGTCTCAAGATTCTGTCTCCTTTCCCAATCCTGCTGTTCTTTAGGAAGGCAGCGGGGAGAGGAGGAAATGATTGCTGTTGCATATAGGCAAGTCAAAATCTAGATGAGTTTATGTTTCTTTTTTGTTCCATGAAGTGTAATTTTTATTTTTCTGGGCGTGGGGACATTTGCTTCCCTCTTCTGTGAAGGAATGAAAATCAGCTTGGACTGAACAATGAGGCAGCCCTGTCATTAATCAGGCTGGGAAGGAAAAGACAGATAAAGCCACCTGCAAAATTAATAGAAAACATGATTTCTCCCCAAGTGGTGCAGTAGTTGTAAAATGGCATAATGACTCCCTCTTTGAGAAATTACAGTTTTCTTACTAGTGATGTTCTAGACTTGCTTTGCTGTTTTCATTTTATTACTGGGGATACCCATTTCCTAAGCCACCCTCTTGTTTACGTTCATGATTGCACTCAATATCCTATTAATGCCTGCCTCTCCTAATCTCACCTCGGAAACAGCAGCCATTCCAGATCCTAGCGTCGTTAGATTCTCCTCAGAATCCTTCAGCTGGGACTCAACCGTTTACAAAAGAGCTTTTCTCCTCCCTCTCGTCCATCACATTCCAACCCTTCCTGTGGATTTTTTATTTTGTCGGACTATGCGGGCTTGTTCCAGTTAATCTTCAGCTGGTTAAGCTTTAACCCCTGAAATGCCCTGTCCACTCACGTGGTGCTTTGGCCTTCCTTCCCAGTGAGTGATGGGGTAATGAGGGATGAGGGTAGATTCCAAATTCCTACCCCTTTCCAGTATGGTTTTTTTTTTTTGAGATGGAGTCCAGGTCTGTTTTTTGAGACAGAGTCTGGGTCTGTTACCCAGGCTGGAGTACGGTGGCACAATCTCGGCTCACTGCAACCTCCACCTCCCAGGTTCAAGCGATTCTCCTGCCTCAGCCTCTCCAGTAGCTCAGACTACAGGCGTGAGCCACCGTGCCGGGCCTCCAGTAGGTATTGACATGAACATTTAGTAATAATTTAGTTTCTCTTAGGAGCTGCTTCTTTCTTATCATTTGGATGGTCTGCAAGTAAACCTCTTGAAGAGAGGCTAACTGTAGAGCTTTATTTTATTACTCAAAAAAAAATTTTTTTTTCAGGGACAGGCTCTCACTCTGTCCCCCAGGCTGGAGTGCAGTGGCACAATCTCGCTCCCTGCAGCCTGGACCTCCCCAGCTCAAGTGATCCTCCCACCTCAGCCTCCCCAGTAGCTGAGACCACAGGTATGTGGTCCCACACCCGACTAATTTTTTAAATTTTTTGTAGAAATGAGATCTCCCTATGTTGCACAGGCTGATCTCGAACCTGGACTCAAGCAATTCTCCCATCTCAGCCTCCCAAAGTGCTGAGATTACAGGCATGAGCCACCATGCAGAACTTTGATTCGATGGTGATTAGTTGAAGAGTTTACAGTTTAGATGGAATTACGCACTAGGTCTCTCTGATCCCCACCACCTTGAATTCTAAAGCAGGGCAAGGTAAGGAGGTGGTTTGATTGGTGACAGGATCTTTGATGCTTTTGAGGCTTTTAAGGAGTGATAATACAATAGGGTTTTTAGTAGAGAGGTCTCTGTTAACAAGGGCAGGGGTTATTAGAAGGGAAGGAAAGACAGTAGAAATTGGGAAATGGTTTGAAGTTTTTGACAGCATGAGTCTGTTTCAGGCCACATATTTATCAGGTCACATGAGATGCAGATTAGTATAGTTATAGTCATATGGGTTATGGAGCTAAATTAGCAGAGTTCTAGTCCTCAACCTGCCACTTAAGAGCTGCTTGAGCTTGGGACAATTTATTTCATCTCTTTGTGCCACAGTTTCATCATCTGTAAAATAAGGATAATGATAGACTCTACTATATAGGATAGTTCTGAGCAGAGGAATTAATATATGCAAAACCCTTAGATAGTGCTTGGCACATAATGAGTACTCAGTAGATTTGTTACTGTTATGTTGTAATTTAATATTTTTCCTCATCACCCAAATCAAAAAATTAGTGTCTTACCACATTTGCTTTATCTATGTACCCTCCTTTTGTAAATTGTTGATAATCAAGAAGAATTGCTGATCAAGGTGATTCTTTGAAATTTATTAGTTATCATTATAATTCTTTTTTTTGACAGAGTCTTGTTCTGTTGCCCAGGCTGGAGTACAGTGGTGCGATCTTGGCTCACTTCAGCCTCCACTCCCAGGTTCAAGGGATTCTCCTGTCTCAGCCTCCAAAATAGCTGGGATTACAGGCATGCATCACCATGCCTGGCTAATTTTTGTATTTTTAATAGAGACAGGATTTCAACATGTTGACCAGGCTGATCTTGAATTCCTGACCTAAGTGGTCTGCCTGCCTCAGCCCCCCAAAGTGCTGGGATTACAGTCCTGAGGAGAATTTTTAAAATAATTATGGGAAGAGGCATATATAGTATTCTTCATCTTTAGTAATATAGCTGACTTTTTAAAAATGCTTATTTACTATTATAAGTGCCTTATATGTAGTATCTTATTTCTCATAACAGTCTTTTGAGGTAGAAACTGTAGTTCTCACCATTTTATATGCAGAAACTGAAAAGTAGCCTGTCTGATATCATGCAGTAAAAAAAAAAAAATCATATATTGGTAATTATAACAATATATCAGATATCATCAATAAGCATACTTAACAACAAAAAAAAAAACCTGGCCGGTCGTGGTGGCTCATTCCTGCAATCCCAGCACTTTGGGAGGCCGAGGCGGCTGCATTACGTGATGTCTGGAGTTCGAGACCAGCCTGGGCAACATGGCGAAACCGTTTCTACTGAAAATACAAAAATTAGCCAGGTGTGGTGGCACACGCCTATGATCCCAGCTACTCTGGAGGCTGAGGCAGGAGAATCGCTTGAATCCAGGAGGCGGAGGTTGCAGTGAGCTGAGATCACTCCATTGTACTCTAGCCTGGGTGACAAAGTGAGACCTTGTCTTAAATAAAATAAAAAATTCTCTGGCCGGGCGCTGTGGCTCAAGCCTGTAATCCCAGCACTTTGGGAGGCCGAGGCGGGTGGATCACGAGGTCAAGAGATCGAGACCATCCTGGTCAACACAGTGAAACCCTGTCTCTACTAAAACTACAAAAAATTAGCTGGGCATGGTGGCGCGTGCCTGTAATCCCAGCTACTGAGGAGGCTGAGGCAGGAGA